TACACTTCATTTAGCATAAACCTGGGTCAAACAGGTGCAGTATAACATAGAGTTGGGACCATTTTATACATGCATTTGAGATAGAACATATGATGTGAGAAGACAATTTTATTCTCAAAAAATTCTGACAATACATAAAAGGATTTGAGAGAGAAGGGCCAGATGACATCATGAATTTGGCATTTGGTTAATTAATATTGTAGTTATTATTTCTTACAGATAAAAAAAATAGCATGTCTATTTGAAAAAAAAAATGAAATTGCAAAATATAACTTCTGAATATGGTTGTATGTTTTACAACTTAAGTAAGCTTGTTTGTTTGTTTTACATATACACTAATTCATTTGGGGATAGGGATGAAGGATTATCAATGGACAGCTTCTTCAGCTGGATAATAATTGTTCTCATGGAAGACTTGACATTTTAGTCAGACCTGTTAGTCAGGCTATAATAGAGGTCTAGCTCTAAATCCATGTCCAGAAGTTGCCTATCTAAAACGTAGTGGTCATGGAAGTGAGGTTGGAGGAAGAGATCAATAATGAGTGCACTCCATCTTCAACCACTGTTGCATGGAGATGGCAGTACTACCAGTGAATCCAGTTCTGTCCTTGTAGTTGGTAACACCCACAAGTAGCCCATGGAGGGCCACAAAGCTGGAGAAGAGTAGGCAAAATGAATTCCACCAAACAAAGCAATAAAAATGGCAAGAAGTACAGCTATGCAAATCTCCTTGTTAGCAGAAGCAGTGGAAAAGTTGTAATTCACTTGGTGGTGACAGAATGAGCAACACACAGCTGGCAGCATGCTCTGCTCTCTTTCCTGGTTTAAATCCATCTTGTACTAGTCCTCTCAAGAGCTAGTTCTGTTTTTTAAACACAGGTCTAGCAGAAACCTGTGTTTAAAAATAGATCAAGCACTCAACACATCCACAGGATTGAGAGCTTTCATCAAAATCATCATGCTGTTGTCACAAGCATCATGCTGTTGTCACAAGCTCCACCCCTTTCTTACATGATGTCATGATGTATGTACAAAATGAGCAGGATGTGCATTGTGCTGTCAAAACACAGAATGTTGTCATTCCCCACCCCCTTGCTCCTAGACAGAGACCCCTATTTAGCACTTAAAAAAAAAAATCTAAACCAGCATGTACATGAAGCCCATTTAAGATCTGACAAGGGGTTTGGAAAATGGCAGTCAGGAATCATGCATGCAGATGCCTCTGTGGAAGCCAGCATCTTCAGGCAATGTCCCAAGGACCTGGCATAAATAAACCATTAATAGGGCATATTTATGTTGCAGTTAAGGGAACATGAGGACAAGCCCTAAATCTCCATTTATTAGTCATCAGCCCAATCCATTACTCTGCTTAGGCACTAGTTGAGAAGACTGTCGGCCTCATCTGTATTCGTGAAAAGGAATGGGTGTCGCCCTCCTATTAGCAAGTGCATGGAACCTAAAGTCTGTTATAATCTACCTGATATACTGAGAATTCTCCTCCATGCCCTGCCTTCACTGGAACTCCTATTGATACTCCTTCCTCACATATCAAAAGGTATGTAGACTCTCTTACCGCCTTTGTTACACTCTTCCAGAGACAATATGATTGCATCTTATGAATGCTTTTGAAATAATTGTTTAAAAACTGCTTTATATCACAAACAATGGGCTCCAATATAGTCACATTGTGATTACTTCAGTGACTGGTTTCAGCACATTTGATATAGCTGGAATTTTTTCTTTCAAACATGAACATGAAACTGAGAGCTTAGTTCCATTTTAAACTCCTATATAAACTTTCACAATTTAATTTATCTTGCTATACCAGCTGACATCAAACCATTTATCTCTGTCTACTATAACACAACAAATGGAGGGCAAAAATAAATAACTAAATGGCCACCCTTCTAGGTCCTCAGTTTTCCCAAATGAAATCTTATTCTGATCCAGATGCGAAATAAGTCAAGGACTGTGCTTATATCTCTTTTAAATGGTCCATTTCCATCTATATCATAGCAAAGATTACACTAATTAGGTTAAAATAAAATTTAGAGGCTTCCTAATCAAATGAAATATTTCAGGGGGTTTGTAGATGTACCCAGATACAGAAACATGCATATAGTTAATTTCATGCATATTTTGTGGCAAATATTGGACAATGGAAATAAAAATGAAGGGGTCAGCTTTTGTTCTGAGAAACACTGGTACTTTTATATTAACTCAAAGCAGGGGACAGCAAGAAGCTAGGCTGAATCTCCAGAAAATGTGAGATGTATTCAGAATTCTCAGAACCTGACGCATGTCTATAACCCTTCAACTGTTTATACTCTCAATACCCATGGATTCTAAATAAAATATAGAAAAGGAGGGGAATCCTTAAACATATTGAAAGTGTAACTGTTACTTATAAAAAGGGTAACATCTCTTTCAAGTTACACTTGACATCATAATTTCACAGACACATCCATCCTCTTGAAAATGGCTCCCCATTTTCAAGAGGATGGATAATTCTTTTGAAAATGGAACCATAATTCAGGTTCCCCATCAAGCTCTGGTAATCTCCTTTCCAATTATTAACATGCTTCCTCTCCTCCAGCAACTGGTCACTGCCCTGTACATCTTTTTTATCTTGGGCTGCTAAATTGCTATGTTCTCAGCTGCTTTCTTGCTTCTTCTTCCTCTTCCTCTTCTTCTCCTTACCACCATATTTTCCTCAACTTTTCTACTAGCACGTGTCTGTTCTACCCTGACTTCTTCCACTGAGCACACTTTTTATTTCTGCCCAGACTGGGTGAAACATACTGTGCTTTCTTTCCTTTGTGCCCACTGTCCTGTAATGGTTCCCTTTCTCTTAAAACAAACACACACCCTTTAAATTGCAACGTAGGAACTTTGGAACAAAACTTCAAAATGACAACCAATGGTACTCCTGAACAATCAGTTCTTTGTTGTCACAAATTTTCTAGAGTTCTACAGTAGAACAAAGCAATGAAGAATGACCCATTGTATTTGCTTTGATCAGAGCAAGGTTTGGGCAGTGGGGAGGGGAGAAAGGGTCTGTGGGAAGGGGATATGAAGGCAGCTGGGTACAAAGAGTTGGGAAGGCAAAGGAAAAGAATGGGGAATTAGTGAGAAGGAAACAAACCTTAAAATGAGAAGGTAAGTAGTAATATACCTGCCCACGTGGGGCCAACCAGCAAGGGTTCCATGGATTGGAAGGGCAAGAAGCAGGGAATAAGTAACACAGGCCCAGCAATGGCTGTAGTATAGACAGAGCACCAACCTGGGCCTATTACCAATTCACTGCAATCCAGACTGGAATTCATTAGATCAGCTTCAGGAAGCAGCACAAGAAACCAGCAGCTTAGGCTCTAGCACACTCCTAGTCACAAACTGGACTGAAATGTGCACTTAAAAAAACCCAACAACTTGTAGATGACCTGCTACAAGAAATGCTAGCCCAAAAATGTTGCTGCCTGGTTCCTCTATCTTGGTTAAGGCTGCTATTTCAGAACTTATCCAAGATATTTACCTGCCTGAGGTAGATCAGTTCATGTCCCTCAGCTGTTCCCCACTCCCATTCCTGGTCTGCCATTTCTTTCTCCACCTCCCTCCATATAAGTTGTACAAAGCTGCAGCTCTAGTTCTTGATACTTGCTCTTGCTTCTCTCTTCCTTTCAATATTTTTTTTGTTGTAGCTGCAAAGCAGCAGCAACATTGGGCACTTACAGTATAAGCTTTCTAGGGATTTCTGACCCTAAAGAAAGTTTCTATCTTGCTTTGTAAGTTTTTTCCTCAGAATGAGATCGGAGGTGTCTGGGTGAGAAAACCCTACAAGAGTGCTTTTGACTGCCTGGCTGCTTCAGCAAATACCATGGGCATTATCAGGCACGCCTCCATATCTGCCTGGGAAGTGAACTGAGTCCGGTGGCACAGATTAGTTGTTGACATCACTCAGCATTTTCCGTCATAGTTCTTCCTGCATCAGTGGTGAGGCCTGAGATCAGCGGGAGGCATTCTGTGAGAAAGTGAGGATTCTGATTCTCTGTGAGGATCTCAAGCCACATCTGATTATCTGAATTTCAGCATTAAGTGATTGGAGTTGAAATAGTTTTTGCCTCTGGGACAAACTAATATTCAGGCTCCTAAACCAGCAATGAACAACTTTTTTTGCACTTAAATGAAAAAGAAAACCTTTCAGTGAATTCAGGAATCATTGGACTGGGCAGGATCAAAAATGTGCTTGGTTTTTGGAGGGGATTTTTTTAAAAAGTGATATTCTCTTCAAACTTCTCCAAATGGAGAAAAATCAGCCCTTTTTTACTTTGTGTAGAACTTAAGGCATCTATGACATTCCTTAAGTCCCTCTCCAGAGTTTCAGAATTGGGACAAATATTTTGGCCCTGCACACTTTGGAGACCACCTTAGATTGCCCACAGCCTATCCTAGATGGTCATTCCCGCAGACAACCAGCAGGCACAACCAGATCCTGCCTTCTTATCTTGCACAGATGGGTAGGCAGGCAGGCAGATTGACTGATTGATAGCCAGTGGCAGTGGAGAAGGTTGGGTTGTTGCAGCGGGCAACCCTACTAGTGACTAGGGTGTAAGAAGAGGTCTGCCATCTTTCCCAATCTGTTGTAGGTCCATCTGGCCAACCCAAGGAATACTTTCAAAAGTATTCCTATACCATTGTGGCTCCTATTCCGGTTTTTGTCTGTTCTTTATTATAACGCCATCTGAAACCCTGCACTGCTGGGCAACAATCACATCTTGATTGTCAGGAGGAACCACAATTTGGACAAAGTGGTTAAATAAATAACAGTAAGCTTAACTGAACTGAACTGAACTAAGAGGATATTTCCAGAGAAAAAAGAAAGAAACAGAAAGAAATGGAAGGACAAAATTGACTTATCTATTTTAATCTTAATGAAATATCATTTCACCCTTTCTATTTTACTTTCTGTATTTTCAGGGAAATGAGATATTATTTTTCCTTACCTTTGAAACCATTGTTCTTCTGTGGCTGTCATTTTTGGCTTTACATGTAGAGACAGACTCTTGTGAAATATGCGCAACAGTTCCTCTTTGTTCAGAAGCTCATTTGTGGTATTACCATTTTTGAGTGAGCCTTTAAGTTCAAGAAACAAATGTTTATAAGTAAGTATGTGCAATTAAGAAGAGCAAGAAAGCGATGCCAGTCATGTTCAGTGGGCAAGGCTGATGCATCCTTTCATACAACATTTTCCAAAATACTAAAGAGAACATAGTATGCTTAACTAAGTATATTGCTGTTATCCTACAAAAATCCCAATCTTTAAGACCTCATTCTTGTGAAAGAAAGAATTATGAATATTGAATAAATATTGCAACCTCTGGTTGCAGCTTTAAATATGCTTTGTTTTATGGAACAGAAGATGAAAGTAATGTTGTGTTTCGTGGTGCTTTCAGAGGAAAAACTAACCATTAGATGTACTGTAGATCTCAGTAGTCCTAGAACCAGTGGCAGAAGGGAGTCAGGATGCTCATAGTCAAATTTGCTCAAATGCAAAAGTGAGGACATCATTTAAAAAAAAAAAAATAATGATTTATAGAGTTGCCTATCTCACAGCAGTGACTCTGAGTGGCATACGAAGATTAAAACCATAATAATAATATGTAACCCGTGACATCCTGGTTTAAATGATAACCCTCAAAACAAAAAGCCACATCACCAACAAAGCTCATTTAACTTCCTGGCCCAAATGCCTGGGGGGACAGCCAGGCCTTCAGTGCCTTATGAAAGGCTAACAGGCTCAGGGCCATCTGGATCTCTGGGTGGGGATGCTATTCTCCGTAGGTAGAGAAGGCACGACTGCAGGTCCAACAAGATGGCATTGATTGATGGAAGGGACCCAAAGTATTCCCTCCCCTACTAGAACTGGGGAGTGGACAGAAACAGCGGGGGCAGGCAGTCCCGCAAATAGCTTGGTCCTATGTCTTGTAGGACTTTCTAGGTGGTAACTAGCACCTTGAATTGGATCTGAAAGTCTATTGAGAGCCACTGCATCTCACAGAGAAGAGATGTTATATTAGTGTATCGAGAGGCACTATAAACTACCTGCACTGCTACCTTCTGGACCAGCTGCAGCTTCCAAATGTTCTTCAAGGGCAACTCCATATAAAGTCTGTTACAGTAGTCCAAACAAGAGGAGATTAAGGCTTCCTTGTCCAGGAATGAGAAGCATTCACCACCTCATGGACCCAGCTGCCTGTTACCTCCTGGAGAATTTAATTAACCGGAATGGACAGGGATCTAATATACAAGTGGCTAAATTCAGAGCTCAAAGGATCCTGTCCACTTCATCAGGGCCAAGAGGTTTAAACTCCTCCCAGATAACTGGGAAGACTATGCCTCAGGCAACTCCACAGGCCTGTACAGCTGGAGTCCAACTTTAAGTATATCTGAGCAACTTTATCTGACAGATGCCTAGAATAATCTTCATAGTGTACCCTACCCAGGAGGGACCTGGTTACCCTAAATAGAGCCACTGGTTGGCACTCTGCAGATGCAATAAAGGTGGAGAAATAACTACATTTTGCCACCCTTATTGCCATGAGGTAATCCTTCAGAAAGGTTCTTATCCATGTTGTTCTTCGTTTTTGTCCAGCAACATTCTAGGTGTCTCTTATGCCATTTCATCACCTGGGGCTCTTCTGAAAACCAGGAGGCCCTCTGGACATAGAGAGTCTGCATAGGCATGATTTGTACTAACATCAAAGTCACCCTCTCATTCCATGCAGCAACTAAAGCCTCAGTCAAACTGCGTACCAGAGCCCTAGGAACAACTCCAAGATCTCTCTGGAACCCAGTAGTGTCCACCAGATGCCAGGGGCAGACCGTTTGATAGCTCCTGGTTCCCTGTGGGAAGGTATGACACCAGAGAACTCCAGAGCCAGCAGGGAGTGATTTGTCCATGGCAAGAGACTGATGGTAACATCCTCCAGCTCCAGATCGCATTGCCAGTGCCCCTAGATAAAAACCAGGTCTAATGTATGGCCTTTGCTGTAGTCAGGCCAGAGATAATTTGGGTTAGGTCCATGGTTGCCATGGTAATCACAAATTCCTAAGCCACCTCCAGGTATGTACCCAAGGATGGCAGATTGAAGTCCCCTGGAAACTTAAGTTTGGAAAACTCCACTACCAGCCAAGCCACAGACTCTAGCCGCTCCAGTAGGGAGATTGCTATGCAACAGGAAGGCTGCTACACAAGCAACAGTCCCTTCTGATCCCTGTAGCCCAATTTCACAAACAGGATCTTACACCATACAATTTGTGGTGCAGTGCCCCTGAAAGCTATTAGGGATTATCAGGTAACAATTGCCAGACCTCCACCCTGACCCTGGCTTTGCAGCTGATGCCACACACAAAACCCAGCAGGGCACATCTCAGAGAGGGGAACCCCTCCCTCTGGATCCAGCCAACTTTTGGTGATGCAAACAAGGTCAGATGTCTCACCCACAATTAAATCATGGATGAGGCCAATTTTATTACAGGCTCACTATGTATTAAGCAGCAGCAGCAGCCGCCAGAAGACAGGGTCTCTGGAACCTTAGTTACCAGGCCTCGGGGCAGACCACAAGGGGCTGGAAAATGACACCAGTACTAAACATTGAGGTCACCTTCCATGAGAGTGGCTGTCAGGCCCAGCCCAAGAACGATGATGAAACAGTCCAGTCAAGTACCGTTCCTTTATTGCTTACACCTTATAGACAGAATCTTGCCAAACTAAATCTATACTACAGCAACTAGTGGA